AATTTGCAGCTGACACCAAGTTGGGTGAAGCTGTAGCCACTTTAAAAGGTAGCATTAATATTCAGAATGAACTGGATAGACTGGAGAAATTAATCAACTGAATTCAATAAAGACAAGGGCAAACTCCTCCATTTAGAATAAAATAATCACATGCACAAACACAGCTTGGCTCGGTTGCAGCACTGCAAAAAAAGACTGAGGGGTTATAGTAGACCATATGCTGAATATGTGAATGCTCTTGTTGCTAAAAGAGCCAATAGTATTGTACTTTCTTATATAAAATATGCACTGTTTCCCCAAAAACCAGCTAGGGAAATTGGTGTGCACATTATATTCAAGAAACATGAACTGTCAAGGGTCCAGAAATTTGGTGGCAGGGGAGAAGTAGCAGCATTAATTGCTGTGGCTGTGGTTCCTGACACGAACTTTTCAGACCCCTGGGAGACCCCCTGGCCAAATTGATGGCCCTATGCTCCAGATCAAGATAGACCCTCATCCTTGGATCCATGCCACCACTGCCAAACCCCTGCTGCTGCCAAACCATCATCTTCAGACCCTAACCATAGCTGGACCCCTTACAGCCTCTGGATCCCCCACCACCACAACCATAGTGACTACTGCTGCTGCAACAACCACCATGGTGGCCACAACAGCTGCCCCCTTACTCCATGCTGGATCCAACACACAAGGGGCCCTGAGGTCTGGATTTAACCTGGAGCTCCGGGTGAGTCTGACACTCCTGCTTTATGCAGTAGCTCAGTGATCACAGCACTCACTCAGATGTGAAAGACCTAAAGATATTTCGCTCTTTGCCCTGGAAGCATTTGATTCCACATCTCCCACCCCCCAGGAAAAAACTCACTAGGTAATAGATTTTTCTAAAGGAAAGGAGAGAGAGGGGAGGCACCCTAATCTATTCCATTGATGCTGTTCCACTTTGCATAGAATATTTAAATATTCTTGAGTATAAGTGAAAGGGGGAGGGGGAATACAGGACTATGGGTTCCAAAACCTGCTCTGAAGACTCTTTCAGTATTTTATCTAATGAGTCTTTAATACCATTTAATGTGAAATATAGAAACAGCCTTTGGAGCAGGAACTGGGTCAATGTTTTGACCTGTGTAATAAAAGATGAGGCAGCACTTGCCACCTCTAGATGTGTTTTAAAGGAAGGTGACTGTTGCCACTGCATTTTGCATAAAGCCTAGCAGTATGCTCTGAGAATACTTATCTGGTAAGCCCCACAAGTGAAACAGGAATACTTAGTTTGTGAATCCCAGTAATATTTAGATATAAAATGGAAGCATCTACATGAGACCTTTACTGTATAGAAGAATAATTAGCTGTGCAGCAAATGTCTCAGGTCTACATGTGCAGCAAAACTCTGCAGTGGTGCACATGTAGATGCTGGTGCAGCTAGCTGGGGCATGAGGGTACTTCAGTGTTGGGGCTGCCTGCCAGCTAGCCCCACACTGGAGTACCCTTGTGCCCCAGCCAGCCCCACTGCATCATGTTGCATGCCCCAACCAGCCCCTCCTCCACTAATATAGCCTCTGCTCTAATATTAATTATAGTCTTGGCTAGCACTGTATGGGGTGATAGCCATCTTAAAAGGGGTCAGAAGGAGATGGGAACACTGTTTTTCCTCTGCAGCAATGCCAGAGAGGGACACAAGTTGAAATTTCCTATTTCTTTCAGAAGACATTAACTCACCCAGAATAGTGCAATTCCGCACACTGCACTGTACTCTGTCTAAAATCCACAGATGAACCATGGCTGTAGGTGTTCTCCTAGCTATACCATCTGTATTTATTGCTTTGCTCCATGGGTAGATAGAAGCACAATTATGTCACTGCTGTCATATCATTTTTGCAGTTGTTGAGACTCCGGTATACAATTACCATTAAATAGTAACAAGTAGTATGAGAACTACATCTATGACAGATTCCTACAAGGTGTAGTGTGCTTTCAACTCCACTGTCTTAAGCAAGCATTGTGGGACCTCAGCATAACTCACACAGCATTCAGCACCAAGACATTAATCTAGGAAGCGTAACATGGTGTTTCTGCTCTTACCAGTTACTAAAGAAAGCTAATGTTCACTTTCAGATCCTACATTTGCCTTTCTACAGAATATTGTTTAAATATTTTTTTACATTATAGAGACTAAAGTTTACAATCACCTTGAAAACATAAGAGCACCTCTGGAAGTCTAGAAAGGGAAAGAGTACCCCATACATAGAGAGTACAGTAAATCTATTTCCCTTGACTTCTCCCATTTGGCTTTTAGAACTCTGCCATTTTTGGCATGCATACCAGATGGGCAATATGAAATAAATGGATAAATAAAACCTCAAATGTCTGCAGTCTTTAAATTGATTGCTGTGTTAGTTAAACTCAAATACCAAATGACTAATTTGCATGTGAAGTTTTCAACTGAACTGAAAGAAATGTATTTTGTTTAAAGGTCTCTCATACCAGCAGATTTTGCTCGTCACACCCTTTCCTATCCAATTCTTTATATATAACTTGACTTTCAAGAATACATTCAAATATGTACATGGAAGTTCAGGGAAATAACACAAAATTGCTTCATGCTGATTTTCAATCACAGAATCATAGAAAATTATGGTTGGAAGGGACCTCAGGAGGCCATCTAGTCCAACCCACTGCTCAAAGCAGGACCATCCCCAACTAGATCATCCCAGCCAAAGCTTTGTCTACATGAGTCTTAAAAACCTCCAAGGATGGAGATTCCATAGTCAGAAATAACTCACATAGATTCTATGGCTAGTAGACAAAGGAGAAGTCTATACATGCAATTAATGCAAAGCAATACACTCTGGAATGTACTGCTCTAGAGCAGTGGTTCTCAACCTTTCTTTCCTGCAGCCTGCTGCTGGGAGTGGAGCGCAGAAGGGGCAGAGGTAGCCCGGGGGTGGGGGAGTTCCCAGCACATGGCGTGGTTCCTCTTTTCCATGCAGCACCGCCAGCATTGCCCCCGCAACCCTCATTTGTGTCATGACCTGGGATGGGGATCTGCTGCTCTAGAGCTTATTGTTCCTGAGCACACCATTTGAACATGCGCCTGGGAGCAATAAACTCTTGAGGACTAAACTTCAGAGTTTATTGCCATTTGAACATGCACATTTTGCTGGGCCAGAGCAGCCCCAGCTAGCAAGAGGCCTGGGGGTCAACCTGCTAGCCCGGGCTACTCCCCTCTGCTCAACATGCTGGGAACAGGCCGATTGGGGTCAGAAGGTGTTTCAGTGCAGAAATAGCCAGCCCACACTGAAGCATCCTCATGCCCCAGCCAGCTGCATCAGCATCTACACATGAGCTGCTGTGGAGATTTTTACTGTGCAGCAGGATAGTACTTGTATTTGCAAGTACTATCCTGCTGCAGAGTAAATTAATTTACTCCAACCTAATCTGGTGCACATGTAGACACTGAAACACTGACTACACAGCTAAATTAATCTATTGCATAGTAAACATCTCATGTAGATACACTCACCCTGTCATAATTCAGTGTCATGAGCAAAAATATCCAGGATGCTAACTTTTATGGAGTAGGATTTACTCTGGATCCATCCCTGTTTCCTATGTGGCAAGACTGATGAACTACTTGTGCAAAACTGGCATGTGAATATGCAAAAATATGTGTTCAGGCATTGACATCCTAAAACTCAGACCCCCTATTCATTACCCTCATTTTCTTTATGAAAAGTTCACTGGTATTAAACCAGTCTTCTTTTTTCATATAGATAAAAATAACCCAGCTTTGTACTTCTCTGAATTGCAAAGTACCTGGGATGTGGTATAGACTTTTAAAGTGAGCTTTGGGCTTCTTTTGAATAAGTCATAGGTAGCTATACTTTGATTTCATAGGGCCAGACTGTGATTTGACCTGAATACCAGAACCAAGTTGTAGAGGGGGAATTCTGTGTACAATCAATTCCTGCATAAGTGGGAAACCAACTTATTTTAGCTGTTTTCTCTTCTTTATCTGGGTAGGGAGTAAGTGAAACCTTGATTCACTCTTCCTAGACAGACATTGGATGTATCAGAACGCATATACATCACAGTTTGCAACTCCCTCAAAAAAAAAGGAGACACGAAGAAGACCAAGTCACAGTCAGAGTCAACATCTGCAGCTGCATTATGCAGTAAATAGGTATTAGATAAAATGGATGGCCAACAATGTCTCAGCTCTGGATGCAATGTCTCAGCCCTGGCCAGGAGACAGCTATCTGCTGGCCCTGTGCTCCTTGTCAGCCCCTGGGTTAGCACCCAGGGGAAGTCTAGAGCTCCCCATGGTGGAGGCAAGGGTCCACTGCAGAGCCCCAGGAAGGTTCCTCCAGAACCCTGGATACTATCCTCTCAGTACCGCCCTCTCAGGCAAGCACCCATCTCAATAAGCAACAAAGACTGGCTCCTGGCTTGCTCTCCTTCCCTCATGGCTTAATAGGCTAGCTTCAAGAGACAGAGGGTGATACGGGGTTGATCTAACTCATGGCCTAGTGATTCAATGGAAAACTAGGAGCATCAGAAACCACTGAGCAACTGAGAGAAAAGACAGGAGGATCCACCTCTTCCTCCATGAAGCAGTCACTAGCTGTATTCTCTGACAAAAGTTGCAGAGAAGTTGCACAGATTTACACCCTTTACAGAGGGAATGGGATCACAACAGAATATAAGTGGCCATAGCGAATCCCTTCTGAGCATGACCACTGACAAATCTAAGCACACAGGTGGGAGCTGGATCTAAACTCCACTTTAAGTTCAACTTAATGTCATAACTATGTTGTTAGGAAACTAAATAGCACTTGGGCACCTGAAGGGAGGGCTGGATTTGTGTCATAGTCCCTGAGTCAAAATCTTTTTCTCATTGGGCCTTGCTTGCATTTATATGAAGGTCTATTTATACCACTCTGATGTTGTAAAGGGGCCTTCTAAGTAAATTATAATTATATCTTCTTTCAAACCCTTTGTGTAAATTGACATTAATGTAAATGAAACTTAGACCTAATATCTTCCCTTTTATTTAGCAAAACAATTTCTGTAGCTGGCTTTGGGATCATGGCTTCATAAGTCATTTTTATTTTCCATTTTCAGCACAAATTTAAGATATCACTGTTACTCTGTTCATGTTTCACATGATGAGGTTGGAAATCCTCCCACCTTTTTTCTTTCCACAGCATTTGTCCTCGTTTGTATATATTTAAACTACTTTATAACGTCAGTTCACCTTTCACCTAGTATTATCTAGTGCTTTTATCAGAGAAAAATTCATAGCTTAATGGAGTATGGCCATTTATATAGTCATGTAATTTTGGTATACTTCAGCTGTTTGCTGCTTATTTAAAATAAAAACCAGGACCAAAACCATTAGCCTGTGATGCTACAAAGATACATGTGCCTTGCCAGTTATTTACAATTTTCTCAAAATGACAAATACTCAGCTATTAATACTAGAGTTTGGCATACACATTAATCTCCGTAGGAAAATATCTTCCCATCTGACAAACCAAAAAAAAAAGTGTGAGTGTATTGCAGCTCTAAAATTCAAGGTTTATTTTAGCTGAAGTAAGTGCACCATGATTCATCTGTCTTGACAAAGTATTGGGAAAGAGGAAGAAGCAGCAAATAGTAGGAAAGTTTTTAAAGTTTTATGGCAGGGTAGCATAATTCTGTGTTGGAAGACTTTCTGCTTAACAACAGTTTGGGTTATATACAGTTGTGTCTTTTTTCTGTATGTCCCCTTTATCCCCCTCTGCCACTGTTCTCACCTTACAGGACTGGTGGGCATTCTTGATTTTATTTGCTATTTTTGTGTACCTTTTTATTCTTTCATTGTCTGTGTTCTAATTATTGTTATTTGCAATATTCTCCCTTTTCAGAGTTTTTTTCTTTTTGTATGCATGTTTTTAATCTGGATTTTGGCTTGCAAAGGCTTTGGCAGCCTACTGTTATGAAATGACAAGGGTATTAGAAGCCATGCAGATGGTGAAAGCAGTGTTGTGTGCGTTGGTTCGTTATGGGTTTCCACCTTTTTATAACAAGCTGGAAAGTTGCCAGATCTTATTTTCACTGCCCATTTCTGACATATCTGAACAGGACTGCAGCAGAGACGGAAAGACTGACTGCTTCTGCAATGTGGGTATGCTCTAGTGCCTCTGACTTTGGAACCTATTTTACTTAATTTTTGTTAATGTAAAGCTCAAGGCTCTGCTGAGCCAAGTTTACATTAATTGCTGCTAAGGGAAAGAATCTTGCACTAAGCAACCTCTCTTTGCTCATTTTGCTAACCTACGTAGGGCCAAAACAGACCCAGCATAATTTTGAGGAGCTCTAGATACTTTAAGTTTTGCCAGATTTAAAATTGCACTTTATCGGCTGAGGAAAAGCACTGTGTACTCCACCCCATCATGCTGTGGTTTGTTACTGACATACACCCATTATATCGAGACAGAGTATAAAGAATAGTTGGCTACATACTACCCTCCATCAAGAGAAATCATCAACTGCCCCTTAAACCAGCTTTGGACCGGCTTTTTCTGTATCAGCTGTGCAAAGGGGGGGACAAGGATCTAGTCTATCTACTAATTTTGCTGCTAATTAAGAGTCCTGACAATGTTTTTCAAGCTTGCAGCTATCATTTTCTAGATTAAATAGATTTGATACCTATTTAACTAACCTTGCTATTTATTACTTTTCCTTTTTCTTAACTAGGATAATTTAATACTTTTTTTTGCTCTTATTTTTAATCAGTTATTCTAGCTGAATAAACTTTCTTCCAAGCATAGCCAACCAAACATAAAGAATAGTGTCTCAGAAAAAAAAACCCAAAACCACAAATATAGCTGCCTAGATAGTTATCTTCATGAATATAAAAGAGAAATATTAAGTGTAGCTAATATGCAATAAGTATGGCTCCTAAGAATGATGGAAGGAGCAGATTTCTAAGGGATTCAGATGCCAACTGTGTCTACTGGGATTCTGAAAAATCCCTAAGAAAACCAGGCACCCAAGCTGTATAGGCAGGTCTGAAAATTTCACTGGGCATGTCCCTAGACACCCTAATAGCTTTGAAACTCTCTCACTTCTTTTCCATTCTGAAAGAAAAAACAAAAATTAAAACTACCTAATTCTGGTTTGGGATAGATATAATATTAAACCGAAAAGTCAAGTCTAGCAGAGGCCATTAAACATATACTTCACTTTATTAGGGTTGCTCCCCTCATTAATCACAAGGGTTAGATACAAACATTGCAATTGGAGCATGGCTACACATGCATTTAGTAATGCGCATTAAGTGATTTTTAGCAGGTGTCTACAAGTACAGGGACTTGGCACTAAAGTTAGTGCAGCCCCTGATCTCAGCCCCAAGCGCAGCCTGGATTGTGGGGGGAACAAGTATTGCTGTCCCTGCAGTCACCCCAGCCCTGTGGTGCACTACAGCCTGGCCAAGGGGGTGCTGCCAGATGGTGACTGTTAGCAGCAGCTGGAGGGGATAAGGACTGGGCCCCTCATGACTTCTCTCTCCCCCCCACAGCTTGCTGACTGACTTATGGGTTGGTGCGGGCTGGGCTGGATCCATGAGGCAGGGGGCTCCATTCACCCACCCTGCCCACCTGTGCAGCCTAGCACCTGTAGCCAGAAGCTACAGAGAAAGGCTTCTTCAGATTTTTGCCTTAACAGAAAATGTGGTTGGGGGGAGGGGGGTGGAAGGAAACCCTCCTGCCGCTAGGGCCCCCCACAGCTTGCTGGCTCAGGGGTTGGGGGAGTTCAGATTGGGCCCATGGAGCAAGGGGGTCCCTTCCCTGCCCCTGCCCCAGTTCCCAGCACAGTTAAATGTGGGGCTGGGCATCTCTGCTGAAGCTGCTGCTGTCAAGATGCTGGGGTGGTAGGAAAGGGAGTCTCCCTGTCCTGAGCCCCCCTCCCACACAACTTGGTAGCTGGGGTCTTTGGGGGAACCTGGCTGAGTCCATGTAGCAAGGGGGCTCCCTGCCCCTGGCTCCAGCTCCCAGGGCTAGGAAATGCTGGGACAGGCTGTGCCTCCTGCAGCTGCTGGCTGCCACTGTCAAGAGGCTTGGGTGGGGGGGAAGGGAGTCCCTCCCACTGCAGGGACCTGGCTCCCACAAAGACCCCACCTAGCAAGCTGTTGGGGGCCCTCATGGCAAGGGAGCTCCCTTTCCCCCCTGCCCCAACCACTTGAGAGCATCTACAGGAGGGGTAGCCCAGCTCAGTGTTTTCCCACACTGGGCTGTGAGGGGGGCTCCATTTCCCCCCTCACCCCACCCCACCCCATCCGCAGCCACTTCCAACACTTACCAGCTGGCAGGAGGCAGGGCTGGGGGGGGCGCAATCCAGCAGCCTCCTGGGAGGTGTACAGGAGCTCACCTTGGCCAATGCACACAGGCATTGAACTCCCTCCAGTGCAGGTCTGTTCAGTTGGAATGTGGTCAAATTTATAGCACTTTAAATAAAGTGCAATAGTTAAAGCACTTTCTGCCAGGGGCTTTTTGAACATATGTAGTTAGCCAATTGTGGCACCTATATTCAAACTTAACAATACACTTACAAGTTAGTAGCCAGAATTAAGTCAGTAGGATGGCTTCTCAAATAAAGTACTACTCATATGACTAAGGGTATGTCTATTCTGCTTTCCTGGCTAGCCCAGGTTTACTGCTCTTGAGTATGCTCCACTTACACAGCACATGCCAAACCCAGAAACATAATGATAAAGCCATACAGAAGATTCCTGTACATCACTCCAATCATGCTGGACTCAAAGACCTCAAGAATGGTAGTGGGGTGCACTCTCAAGTCTACTGTCTTATTTCTAGGTTGGATATATGTGAGTGTGTGCAGGTGGGCACAGGACGTGTTCAAGAAGTGCTCTCTGGGAGTGCCAAAAAAAGCTGTGGAGCCATAATCACTTACAAAGTTCACTATTTGTATGTGTGAAGCATTCACAAGGGTCACTGTTTTCTAAAATGCAATCTCACTCAAGAGCCATCAGTGTAAATTTTATGCATTTTGATCACATTCAGCAAAGGACTGATATCCAAAATACATTAAATTAACACTGGGAGTGCTAGAGTGTGATTGGCTTTCACATTTAAAAGGAATAAAAGTTACTTCAAGAATAACACTTCTTCTGTAACAACATAGGAAGAAATAAGCAAAATTCAGGGTAGATTCAGAGCAGAAAATTCCTGCAGAATGTATTTCTAAATCAGTCCAATTTTTCCTGAAATTTCATCAGTCTGACTAAACAATTTATTGAAATATTTCATCAGGACTATGAGACATCCCTATAAATTCAGTTCCACTTATTTTAATATAATTCACATACCAACAGATTACCTCTGTTATGAGCCATTTTGTGAGAAAACTAAAAAAGTAAAGTGTTTATGAGTCGACCTTCAACTATCCCATTTTAGCAAAAATTAAGATAGCTTGCCACTTTTTTATGTACATACATTTTGAAATGAAAAAACATCCCTATTGCTTCCAACCATAAATAAAATAGATGACCTTTTTCAGTATCTATTAGGATTCTCAGTGGTATATTGCAGACAAATGTATAAGTGCCTCAGAAGTTGGGTTAAACCCATAGCTGCCTGATTTGATTTGAGTTCTAAAATAGCGCATCTTCTAAACTAACATTTTTCCAGAGTTTCCCTGCTTTTAAACAAGGCTTTAAAACATTTTTCTTCTTTAAATTTTTGTTTTGGTAAAATGTCCTTTTAGAATCTTAAGACAAGTAGAAGTGGAACAGACTTCTGGATATCATCTAGTCCAACCCCCTGCCTAAGGCAGTGTTGTCCCTTTCCAAACCATCCCATACAAATCCTTGTCTAACCTATTACTAAAACTACATAATCAATCCTGTCGTACAACTATATGGCACAGCGTCCTAAATGACCACAGGTAAAGTGGGAGTGCAACAATAGTCAAACATTGTTAAAATGCACTTGAAAGATCCAAGGAAGAGAGCCATGCCTCCCCACTACAAAGGAAAGCAAAACAGTCTATACTAGTCTGACTATAGAGCAAAATTGCTTCCTGAACCCAAATATGGTGATCAGTCTGACCCAGAGCACAGGGGTAAGACTTTCTACTCCCAACAGGAGGATTTGCACACACCAATCAGAGTCTCCAGTCTTGGCTGAAGCCAGCACCAGAAGCTTCTGAGGAAGAAGAAAAAAAGAGAAAAAACATCTGGAAACATGTAGCAACAAGAAGGAGGAGGGGGAAGCATGGCACCCATGGCTAGACTTTGGTTACCCAAAGGCAGGTCCCTAAACAACATATGAATTTATAACA